TGGTTATTGTTGTTTTAGCTCGGCTAGTTTTACAGATCCTTGGCTTCTAAAATAGTTATTTGGGATTTACCATTAATGAGGGGAGGGCAGGTACTGTTCAAATTATTTAGTGGAATTTGATGTGGCTGGGTGACTTTACAGTTTGAAAAACCAGATTAGCAGTGAACATCACAAAACAATATGACCAAATATAAGGATTTAATGGTCGGAAAAGTGACTTTTCCCCAGTATTTTTTTTTTAACTGTAAGTAACTAGAAAAGAAACCAAAAATACAATTGAAGCTTGATGTTCAGGTGACTTGGGATCTTCATAGACATTGAAAAATATTACTTAAATAAATTCCTATGATTTAGTGGGACTTCTCAGGGACAAAAGGATCACCCATTTGAATATGTATTAAAATGGTAATAGTTATCAGTTTACATTATGGAAACATGCTAATTGTATTACTCATTGGGAAAATTATTTCTTATTCATCTGGTATGAGTCTGGTCCTTTAAAATTTTGAAATGATGGGTCAGTGAGATGGCTCTGTGGGTAAGTACCACCAAGCCTGGAAACCCGAGTTCCATCTGGAATCCATATAGTAAAAGGAGAGAGACAGCTCCCGAAAGTTGTCCCCTAACCTCCACACATGCTATGGCCCCCAAGTGCCCTCTCTGTAACATTAAACACATTCGGAAATGTTGCTACCAGTTCCTCTAAGAAAAAGTTAATAAGACTTGCAAAATTGGTGTATTGTTTTCACCCGGGTGCAGTGAACTTTCTGCGGCTCTCTGCATCCACAAATGTCGCTTATCTTCCTTTTTTCCTTCTTGTTTTGACATTCATTGTGTTCCAGAATAAAAAGTGCACGGACAGGATAGTGATTCCATTTGCAGATACCCATTTTTAAAGCCTTAGTGCCACTCGTATGGCTGCAAACCACATAGAGCATTAATTTAAACTCCGCTGAAGACACTTCAGCTAGAAGTTATTGGCTGTGCCTCACGGAGGCAGCCGGATCACTTTTCAGCCAATAGGTCAGTCCAAGTGCAAGACACAGCCCACAAGTGTGCAAAACTGCACCCTCAATTGAGACAGTCTTTTGTTCCATGGTTCTTTTTTTTTTTTTTTTTTTTTTCCAGTCGGAACGTGTAACCCTTATCCAGCATTCGCCTACTTGGTGTTAGAGAGTGTTCTGTTGCCTAATGGGAATAACTGGCTTTCAGAGCCACACCGTTAGAGGGACTTCTTTTCCCACGAGCTGTGGTGTGCCCACTGGAGTGCTCCATAGTGTAATAACTTGTCTTCTCTAGCCACAGGTGAGGGGAGATGAAAGGTCTGGCCTTGACCTTTGCCGTCTCACCACCCCCACAGCCCTGCTCCGTGACTCATCCCACACTCAGCCTCCCCACTCACACGAAGTCATTTTAGGTAGAAGACAGAAAAATCCCAACTAAAATGAGGGTCTTTGACTCATCTGCATTACCACTGTACAGTCCCGTGATGTTCATTAGACTCAAGGCAATCTCCTCAAATTGAAAGGAACGAGCTAAGAAACGTTTAAATTGGGTAAATTCTGACGTGTTGTTGGCTATTCAAAATCTGTCTTTAGCGCCGGAAGGGAACCCACCATACAGCACTGTGCATACTTAATGGCTCTAGAGATGAGAATTCCACAACATGTGCGTAGTCTCACTGGCAGCTCCTTAGGGCCCAGTAGGAAAGTTTGTGACAGCGAACTGTGTAGTGACAACCTTGCCACAACCCCTAGCTGCTTGTCTTTGACTGCCTTTACCCTGAGGCTCCTCCAGCCCAGCTGCTCCCCCAGTTTAGTGGTTGCCTTTGGGGAACTTCTTGATGGATTGGCTACGACAGGTGGTGGTGTGCTTGTTACCAGGAGGGGTAAATCATGGGGAGATCCAGAGAGTAACTTATGCAGAAATGCGGGACGAAAACAGAGTAATTGGAACCATGTTCAAGAACTGCTCGTGTTCTTAAAAAAGTGGCAGAAATATAGTTTAAGACGGAAAAGACAAGGCTTAGCCAGAAAACTATAGCGATTTTCTTGAGCATGCAGGGCACGGCTGTCGGGACCTTTGTCTTGTGCAGGGTTGGTGGGCCGGGTCTCTCTGGACGGAAGAATAAAACTATGAGAATTAATGGCATGGTCCAGGTTCTGCTGTCCGCCTTTCCCAGCCTGTGCACAGATTTTCTCCACTCCTTGTGGAGTCGGTATCATTGACAGTGCTCCACGCTGTCTTCTTGGCAGGACATTAATCCTTAGCGGGCCCAGCCTGTTTTCCATCTCATCAGTACACTTGTGGGTTAGCTTGCTGCTTCATCCATATTCCCTGAAAGGTTCATTTCCCTGGCAATTATTTCTGTCCTTGCTGAGAATGCTGTGCTTAGGAAAACATAATGAGAAAATTCTCTTTGGATTAATTTACTGAGAAACTGAATAAATCAAAACATGCATTCTTTAAGTAGATAACAAAGAAAGTTGCTCTTTCGGTCAGGTTAGTTTTAGGAGCACGTAAGCAAAAGACTGTGCTTGGCTAGCATTTGCTTGTGGCTGTCTCTGAAGATTACAAGTTATGTTTGACCTAAGAAACATTAGGAGCAGAGTACGCATTTGGTAACACAGGTTGAGGCTGCAGCCTTTCTTTACTATGAAATACAATTAGTGAAGAACGTTCTCCTCTCCAGAGATAATTCTATAGGCAGCCTGCTTAATTCTGACTCTCCATTCTTTTGTTGTTCGACTCAGAGGTCTGAGAATGAGAAAAACCCACTTGAGGTTAAGAGAGCTGAAGTTACATCAAAGCGGCTAGTCTACATATTTATTGCCTTCAGAAGTACATCTTTGATATATAAAATTTGATCTTTTAGAAATTAAACAAGAAAATGCTTATTTCCTCCCGTCTCTAGAGAATATATTTGAAATTCATGGAGTGCTCTGCAAATTAATAACCGCGGGTGCACATCTGAAAACTGGTTTTCCTTTAGCAGCCGTCCCTCGCAGGGCTGAGTGCTTTGGTCAACTAGCCTTGGTGATTGTGCAGAAGAGGGGCGGGGCCCATGTCTAAGGCGGCAGGAGCGGAAGTGCTCAGTAAAGCACTCGCTGCTATTTCTGAATGGAGTCGCGTCCTCTCAAATAGGCTTCCCATATCACTGTTTCTCTTTGCTGATTTTTTTCCCCTTACACGATGGAGGCCAAGAACCTCATTTGTTAGGTAATTATAATGTATGGGATGTGTTTGCCCTCCTCTCTGATAGCCGCTGTTCTAAGGCTATGTGTATGAACACATTTAATCCTTCCAGCAAGTCTGTGAGTCGAGCACCGCTCATAGATGATGAGAAGTTGGAAGAGTTGAGCACGTGCCCTGGACGGGACACTGACAGAAGCAGTGCTCAATCCATCCCAGAACGGCCTTGATGTCTACTCCTCCCATCAGACCCCTGCACAGAGCAGTCCCCTGATACATCCTGTCCTGTATGTTTGTCAGTACTGTGTGTGAGAGTAACGATGTGGGTGCCTAAACCGATGCGTTGCCTTGTTGTTGAAACATGAATATAACTAAGAGGGGTTTTAGACGGCACTGGACAGCAGAGGACAAGGCCTCCCTTTCATTTACCAACAGCATCTTGAGAAGCTCCTGGAGCAGATACTTGTCAAGTGGTTAGTATACAAGAATTTGCTAATATTCATAACATAATAAAGTCATTTTAGGGAAGGATTTGTACTGTTCCTTCCTGAAAGGACTTTATTTGGATGAATAATTGGAGGGGTGAAAGAAGAAAGGAGGGAAATGGACTGGGGGGGGGGGAGGACGAAGGAAAAGGGGGAGAGAGAATGAATGAGCATGGGAGAAAATGAACATACCTGATGGAATGCAAACACAGTGTAATGAATCAAACCTTACTGAGATTTAATTTCTAAAAAAATGAAAAGCTAGAAAATTTTTAATTGTAAGGTCAAAGAGAATCTGCTCTTTTCAGAGGAGTTAGTAAACCCTGGTGAGTTTTCAAAGTTCACGTGCAGTTTTAAGTTCCCAAATTGGAATTGCACCCGCATTGGGTGGTTCACAACTGCCTGTGACTTCATCTGTTGGGGAGCACATGATTCTGTAGACACCTGTACTCTTATGTGCACACACACACACACACACACACACACACACAATAAATCTTTAAATCCTTAGCTTTCCATGACTACAACAGAAGAAACATTGAGCGGAACACTCAGTGGTTGTGATGGTGAGGCAATTCTTTTTTTTTAAATTTATTTATTTCTTTATTAATTAATTAAAGATTTCTGTCTCTTCCCCTACGCCCCCCCCCCCCCTCCCCCCCCTCCCCCCC